ATAGACTTGTAGTGTTGAATGAAAATTTCATTAAAGATTAAAGTAAATTTATTATAATATGTGTTTGTTATATTTATGGGAATTATCTTTGATCTAAATTTGACTGATGTTACAGGATGTTACATTTCAGATCTGTTTTCAGAGTCAGTCTCTTCCGATGATGTTGGTGCCTCCCTTTGATGACACCTTCTCCGCCATACAACATTTGATATGCACTCATCTCTCTTTCTTTATCAACACTGCAGTCGCCAATCTAGCCGAAATTGGCTACATCCACCGCAACTCGAGCCATCTTTCTTTCTCGCCGCCTTTCTCCGGAATCCTATGTCGCCGGTTCCATGATTGACATTTCCGCCGTGATTTTTCTCTTCTTCTACAACGTAACCGCCTCTAGCCACTGCCTATTCTCTCTTCTTCTCCGACGGGTAGTCACATTATTCATCGTCGTCAGAGCTCTACCACCACCATTGTCGTTGTCTTCATCTATGTTTTTATATTTTGTTTTGTTCTACTTTAGTCACTTCCTCCTGATCAAATTGTCGAGGGGAGGGGGTGTTAGCGATTAGGGTTAGCTAATACCTATTAGGGTTTAGTGCCAAGGCCCCGTCGGTTTAGGTATATGGTATTCCCAATATATCCCTATGTAATTATCATTAGAGTGATTAAGAATTTTATAATATAACATTACTACTCTTTTATTTAAATCAAATTGTTCATTAATAAGTGCTCATGAATTATCCAGTCTATTAAGTTATCCATCTATATTTTTTATATCCATCATCATACTTATATAAAATAACGACATGTAAAATCTATTATTTCTCTCTCTTATTCGTTCTTTTGATTCTAATTCTTGTTTTGATCTAGTAAGTAGAAAAATTGATAAAAACAAATGTATTTTAACCAAATTTGTAAAAGGTGTAACACCTGTCTCCTAGAATGGATCAGTGTATGGCATAAAGGAGTCAAATGCATGGTTTTTGAGGAAAACCATATGCCATGACGTGAAAAGAAGGTTGTCACGACGTGACATACCAAATATGAGAACCCGTTTTCGGATGGCGGTTACGACGTAACAAGAGTATGGTCACGACGTAGCGATAGTTGCAACCCAAGCCCATGATATTTTAGGGTTTCCTCCGTATTTAAACCTCTAACCTCATATTAAGGACATCATTTCCAGCCTCCATCACCCTCAAGAACCTTGAAGCAAATCCTAATACCCTCTTCTCCATTTTTTAGCTTACCATTGGTGATTTGGTGCATTTGAAAGGAAGAAGAAGGCCCTTGTGGTATAGAGAACCTTTTGGCAAGCTTGGAGACAGGGTCGGTCCAAACATATATTAGGTCCAGGACGAGAAGTAAAAATGGGCCCTCAAAATCAAATATAATAAATATTTGAAAAAATACATCAATAACAAAAATAATTAAGAATGTCTTCATAAAAACACACACACATATATATATATATATATATATATATATATATATATATATATATATATATCCAAAATTTCAACTGCATGACAAAGTCACTTGCTAACACTTTCAATTCAGATAAAAAAATATAACTTGAATCCACATCAAATACATTGTCATTAATATCAAACTTTAGGAAACATTTTACGATTATCATAAACTAAAGACTTCTTTAGGAAATTAACATTAACTAATGACTTCTTTAGGAAATGAATACACCATATTTCTATCTCAAACTTGTGGAAGTCTAATACCAAAGCAAACTGAAAAAATAAAATCAGTAACAAAAGTCATAAAAATTACAGATAAAATAAAATCAAAAAAATTTGATAACATAAAATTCTGATAAAAATATTATCTTATCAAGTAAGAAATCTAATATTTGGAGCTGAGACTCTGAAAGAATCAACTAGAAACAAACATCATAATATTTGGAACATAAAACTACTAATTATACAATAACTTACAAACATCTATAAACATTTTACCTTGATGGGTGAAAAATCTGAAACTTAAGGCATTGTGTTTCACTGTTTCTGTAATAATCACCTTCAGAAATCTGATGTAGAAACAAAAATCAGATACAACAATTATAATCTTCAAGAAAAGGAAATATGATATACAAAATTATATTGAGAAGACAAAATCAAAAACAAAAATCAAAAAATAGAAAACTGATATACAAATCTATAAGTTTTCAGAAACAAAAATCATACCTTAAAATTATCTACATAAGTCCTAACGATTCAGAAATCAACATAAAGTCAAAAGGGGATGGTGTGGTCAAAAGAGGAATGACAGATTACGAGATTCTGAGAGAAACGAGAATGAGAAACAGAGTCAAGGGGAGAAAAGAGGCGATACTTTAATACGTTTCTGAGTTCTGATGTCGAGGCGGCATGCAGCATCAAGATGTCGATAATGCACGATTTCCAGCCTGATGTAGATGTCGATTCAACTATCGATGATGTCGATTCGATTCTAATTCCCAATTTGGATCTTCATTCGTTCCTACCCTTCCCAGACGCGCGTTCATCTAGTATCGATCAGGCTAATCTCTTTATTTTCTTGGGCTAATTTCAGTTTGGGTTAAATTAGGATTTGGGAAATTGGGCCCCTAAGAAATATGTACAAATTTTTTAATATATAAATATATAGCCATATATTTTAGGCCCCTTATAGACGTGGGCCATGGGCGGTCGCCCGGGTTGCCCACCATCTAGGCCGACCCTGCTTGGAGATTTCATTTGAGCCGTTTTTGGGCCATTGTAAGTGTTTAAGATCCAAGATTTATGTTGCATGCTTCTAGATCTAGGCTCCTTGTCCCTTTTTCTTCCTGATGTGGAAGTTTGGATGGAAGGATTCCATAAAGTTGGCAACTTTATAGTTTCTTGAGGTCCCTTGAGGGTTATATATGTTGGATATGAAGTTTGGCTAATTTTTGAAGACATACATGTGATTGTGGTTTCATTTTTCATCATTTTGACCTAACATGAGCTCAAGACATGCATGTCTATAAAAAATCGATTTTTAGAATGTTTTTGGAGTAAGAAGGTCCTCTAGAAAGTTGGAATGAATGGATTAAAGGATTAACGGTTGAATGCATTAAGTTACCCCAAATGCAGTAGTCATGACGTGACCATATGAAGGTCAGAACGTGACGATGAGACTCACCGATTGTTTTGGACGGATTCTGTCACAACGTGGTGACATGACCATCATGACGTGACAGTGGTTTTGATCACGACTAAGTTGTTCGTAACTGGAGTTTTGGATTAGGACTGAGTTCATTAGTCACGACTTGACCATGGTTGGTCACGATGTGAGTATCCGCTGATGATGATGTTAGTTGTTGACCTTGACCTTGACCGTTGACTTTTAGCATGGGTTGACTTTTGGTCAAATTTCTAGTTCTAGAATGTAGACTAAGGGTTTACCTTGTGTGGTTTATTAGGAGGTGTATAGCACCCGTTCGTTGACTGTGAGAGTTGTTAGTTGTTGATTATTACATCGGCAATGTGAGTTTTCTCACTATACTATGTACGATGTTAGATGTCTTTGTGATACTTTCATGGAAGATCAAGGTGTGGCCCTTGACATATGTATGAAAGACCAGGGTTTGGCCATTGGCAATTGTATGAAAGACCAGGATATGGCTCCTGACAATTGTATGCAAGACCAGGGTCTGACCCCCGACGGCTATATGTAGGATGTTAGGTGTCTTTGTGATGCTTGCATGTAAGACCAGGATGTGGCTCTTGGCACTTGTACGTAAGACCAAGGTTTGGCTCCTGGCAAGGAAAGACCATGATTTGGCTCATGGTTGATAGTGACAGTAAGACTATGGTTCTGCCCATAGCAATCCTTATCATATGTATGGTATGTGGTATTTTAGGAAACTCATTAAACTTTGTGCTCACGGTTTTGTTGTTTAAATATTTTTAGGTACTTCCAGTTCCAAAGCGAATGGTCCGACTTGACTGCACAACATCCCCTGATGGCTTTTTCTACACTGATTATTATTGTTTTACTCTGATTAGTTTTGAAACAAATGGTTGTATGGATTTGATGGTTTAAAATTGAAAATTTTATTGGTACGGAACGTTACAAAAGTTGTGTCATGGTTTGCGCCAAGGCGTATCATGGCGTGAGGCGTGATGTAGCTGTTACGAAAAAGTCCAAGGCGGGTTTATTAAACATGACGTCCAAATAACATGTCAATATGTGTCTTATCGCGTTATGGCACGAGACTTTTTCAAGGCGCGGGGTTTTTTTTTTTTTTTTTACCGGACTTAAAACAATTTAGTTTTTGTTAAGTTTTTTATATCAAAATGATAATATAACATTACTAAAAACTTGATATATTTAATATAATTCTATAACTCTATGATTTATCTTTTTTAATATATATATATATATATATATATATATATATATATATATATATATGTTACGTTTCGAAAAAGTTATGATTTGAGCTTGACCTCGCCGTCAAACCCACGTCTCACAATATTAAAACCTTGATTTTACACTTGGCCTTTGATCCATAATTCCATATAACTCAACTCCAAAAGTCTAATGCTTTTGGACTTCTTTAAAAAACTTTTAGGAGAATTTAGAAGTACACAAAACATAAAGATATAATGATGTGGAGCCAAATGCATTATTAATCAAGTGTGTTAAACTTAAACAATCAGTGTTTGGTAAAAAGTATAATCATGCCAACCACTATTATCCAACAATAAACCCGGTTCATCCCCTCTTTCTTTTACCATCCCAACTAACCATTTAATTATTTGTTGTTTGGTAGTACAACCCTTTTGGTTGCATAAATTCAATTCCCCAATCTACCCCTGTACTCTGTATTATATTTTTTATTAAAATTTATAGTGATACAACATACATAAAAAAAAAAGATCACATAAATCGTTAAATATCATACAACATGATTAGTGTCAAAAACATTATCACACACTCGCAACTAAAAGCTCTACATGAATGAAATATTACAAAAGAATCATTCATTTTTTAGGATTATGATGTGAACTAAACCACATACACTTATCTTTCACGGCTTCACTCCCACTTCCATACTCTTTAAAACAATACTCTTCTTGCTTCAAACCCGAAGGCACTTTCCCTTCACTGTAACACCCGCTACACAAACTAAACCGCAGCTTCATCTCCTTAAACCGCGCCCCAATTACCGGGTACCGACAAACCGAGCAAACCGTATTCCCATGCCGATTCCGATCGCCACTTTCCAGCTTCAATAGAATCGACATTACACCAAAACCACATTCCGGATCATCAAACATAGCAAGAAAGTCGGTTAATGACACCAATGAATCATCCGTTTCACCGTGAATCTCCGTCATTTCGCTCGTGTTATGTGATGGAATGTAGATTGATCTCAATAAATTTATGTAACGTGTCGCATCAGCTTTTGTAATCCGTCCGGAATCGGAGATTCCGGTTCCGGTAACCGGACGCCATAGAAGCGAATCGAACGCTACCCTTTTTCGTTTTCCGGCGAACCACCACAAATCGGAGCTAGAACCGCGAAAAACATTCCCAAATCGACCCTTCCGGATTCCGATTCGTCAAGAACGGAAAGGATTTTTAAATTAATCGCCTTGACGGATCCTACAAAAGTTTCGGGTTTCAAGAAACCAAGTAGTCTTCGAAGAATGGATTCCAATGCCGCCTTTCGTATAGACTTCTCCGGAACACCGTAACCGGAATACGTTAACGGGGTCTTGGAATCGTTCATTTCCTTCTTTAAAAGCTCAACATCACACCGGAATAGCCGTGTAACCCTCTGAAAAGACCGAATTTCAAGAGCCGTTGCTAATTCTTGCCTTAATGTCGTTTTTTCACCTAAAGTTTTGAATTTTGATGGTTCGATGACGATAAACGCATCCTCACCGATTCCATTCCGGTTTCCGTTTCCGTTTCCTTTCTTCTTTTGAAGTTGCTTCAAGTGAGAAAGGGCATCATGTAACTCAACTCTACTAGTCATCTTCAAAGCCTCTTTTAACGATTTTTTAGCTTCTTCAGTTTCACCGGCGCCTAATAAAGACACCGCTTTGTTCACCTGAGCTCGCCAATGGTTAGGCCATAACCCTAAAACCCGAGTGTAAACCTCTGAAGCTCTTTGATATCGGCCCATGTCCATATAAAGACCACCCAAGTTATACAAAGCATCCACGTGTCCAGGTTTCAAATCAATGGCTTTCTGAAACTCTTTAACAGCATTATCATCATTACCCATTGCGTGTAGAGCTGAAGCAAGGTCACAATGTGCATCGGGATAATCGTTTTTTAGATAAATCGCCTCCTCTAAGGCTTTCACGGCGGCTTTATACTCTCCGGCACCGAATAGAGCACTACCCAGAAGCTTCAAAGCTCGAAAAAATGAGTAGGGCAAAGAATGGCGGCTTCTCTGTAATGCTCGCAAGCACTGATAACCATACCTTCACCTTCAAGAGCGATTCCAAGATTGACGTGAATTTGGGGGGAGAAGATAAGACCATTGATTACCTCCTGCTTCGGCTGCATCTAACGCTAATATGAACTCTTCTTTTGACTCAGTTTGTTGATCGAGAACGTAATAACAGTTTCCGGCCCGGAAATGGGGTCTGACGTCGGTGGGTTGTAGTTCGCAGGCTCTTTTGAAACATACCAGGGCTTCTTTGAATAACTGTTGATCGTAGAGAAGACGACCGATTGCCATATGTCCATCGAATGCTTCTTCTCTTGATCTTGACCCGTCTGCTCTAGATCTTAAAACCCCTAATTCTTTGACGAAAATGGTGTAATCGTGTCTGGTTTCGTCCCAAATGATCTGTTTGTTCATCTCCATGGATGGACCAAGCTCTCTAGACCACCCTGGATCGGAAAAGGCATCGGAATGTTCGCCTTTGGTTTTTAAATCTTTCATTTGCTTCGTCTTTAACCGCTTTATCAGAATTTCTAAATCGTCGACGAGTTTCCATGTGTCGTCGAAGATAATCCCGTGGTTTGGCGACGCGGCCCATGTCGCCGTTCGATGTTGCTTCTGCGGCTCCGGTGACTTTACTCTCTCATCGACAACCAACGATGTGGAAGCTTCTTCGAACGCCATTGAAGATGCGGGTTCATTGTTGTTATTGCTGTTATCGTTATCATCGTTGGACTTCAGTTCAAGCGCTAATGCTTCAAAATCACGGTCGACGTCCCCGGCGCCGTCGTCATAGGTTCGTAACAGGCCGTCGTAAGTAAGCCCTTTATCAGTGTCGATGAAATCGCTGTACGTACGGAAAACCTCGTCGAGGATGGCACTAATTTGCTCATCGCTAAATCTAACTCTAGGGTTAACAGCAACAACAAGGGCGGACATTTCTTCTCTATTAAGACCACCATCTCTGTTCAAATCGAATTGCTGGAAGATCCTCTTTACCTTCTCCGATCTGCTACCTCTAGTCGCCATTTTTTCTGTACTTTAAGGTTACAAAGTTGCAAAAATAAAAAATTTAACAAAATGGAATGCGTATAAGCCGCTCTAAAAAACGTAGAACCCTAACCCAGAAAAATACATTGATTGGGGAGAATCTATAAGCCGTGAGCACTGTAATTTAGGGAAATGAAATCCAATTTGATACCAAAAATGGATCTTATAAAGAAGAAATGTTAGATAATAGTACAAATTAACATAGGAGAGAAAGAAAATGAGGTATGATGTTATCTGTATAGCTTCAATTTTCTCCTCATTATCTTCTCCGGTGCCTGTCTGGCTTGTGGAGTGATGATGGTGATTGGTGATGGAGGGGGACTATGTAGCCGCACGAGATTCGGTTCATTCATTCCTTGCTTACAAAATCTTATTTGGAGGGTATGTTATGCAACTTTATGAATTAGGTCGGCATTATTGCTAAGTATATTAAAGCCAAATGGTTGGTGTTGTGGACTTCATTACACTTATTTGGTTTAAAAGGTTTTATGTTTGGACTTTATTCTTTTTTTAGTCAAACTTTAAAAGAAAGATTTATGATTTGTTTATACCATAACATAGAGCCACACAAGAATAAATAAATAGGTAAAGAAATTAAATTAAATGAACAAATAAATAAATAGAATGTATGAATAATCTACCGGTAAGGAGACTGTTTATATTTTCATTGATGATTTTCGAGATAAAAAAGTTAAGAGCATACTACAACATCTGTTATTTGGGGCTAGATATTTTGATCCTTTAAATGTGAAGATGCAACCAAATGAACCTCTTTTTGGAACTATGAATAATGTAACCAGAGTGTTTGCAATAAAAATTATATGAAGAAATCTCTAACTATGATGAAAATTGTCCAAAAATAAGATTTAAATGTGGAGGTATTTAATGTGTATTGTTATTATTAGCATTTCAGCCTATTTTAATATCTAGGTGTTGGCCCAATTGAGTACTTGCCTATCTAAATGCTTTGGTTATAATGGTTAGGCACTTGTGTCCCACTAAATGACCAACTATAAACTATATGCCAATAATGGAGTTAGAATTATTCGGGTAAGTGAAATTTGAGATGTATGGTTGAAATTTAAGATGTAAGGTTTTTACCGGTTACCATCTTCCTTGTTGTGTACCTTTAATTCATAATAATAAGACATTATTGTTAAAAAGGTAGATTAGAGACCCCATGTATACTTATATCGAGCTAGGGTAATACGAGGCCAAGACATAATAACTTGAAGAACTAGCGATGAGCAATCGGAAAACATTAGAAGCCTTAAACCCTTTGGATTTTCCCCATTTCATTTCATCACATGTATTTCGAGATGAAGACGATAGTAAAATTTGGTTTCATAGGGAATATGTTATATTTGAACAAAAAGAAGTAATCCAATTTGAGCTTCTTCATTAATTTCATCCAAACAATCAAGTAAAGTACATATTGTTAGATTTTTAAACTTTGGTTTGAGTTATTGGACTTCGTTAATTGAAAATCACTTATTTGATCTATTCTTATCGAAATTGATGGACAAATTGGTTAATCAATGGTATTAGGACATGAATTCTAATATGGTGTGGTCTGCGGTTTTGACTCCGAACCGTACCGCACACACCTACTTGTTAGGATTGAAATGAATGAGTATTATAGCATTTATTGAGGTTTTTGGTCGTTTTGTGTATACCTAAAGGTTTACATGATTATGTATATGGCCAAGCATAATTGTATGTGTAACGCCCTGTTCCGAATCGTTTCCTAATGTCGGGTGGTGACCCGAAGACCGAGTATCATCAGGTTTATGGCCTTTGAGGAAAAAAAAAGATTTAGACCCATTTGGGTGTGCGTAGGGTAAGTGGGGTGATCTAGGAAGTTCGGTTTGTGTTTTGGAGCCAAGAGGTATTTCGGTAAAGTGTCAGTTCGGGCTATTATAGAATTTGGATTTTTGTTCGAGAGGTTTTAAGGCATGTATGAGTTGATAGAAGTGTAGAGCTTTTCGTTACCTTTTTGTGGATAAAAGGATCGTCGGAAACGGACTTAGAACGAAGAAGTTATGGCTTTCGAAAGTTTTAGTGGTTTTAGGGTAAAACCGGGTACGCGGGGCGTACACAAGTGTACGCGGGGCATACTAGTGCTAAGGCCAGTACGCGGGGCGTACAATGACGTACCATGGACGTACTAAGCAGTATGATCGCGGATGTTCTAATGAGTACGTTGGGCGTACCAGAAGTACGTTGGGCTTACTCCAATCAGACCCAAACCCTATTTTAGGGTATTGGACCCTATTTTAGGGTATTGGACCCTATTTAAACTCCTTATCTCATCACCTAACCCTAATATCTTCAGCCTTCATCCCTCTAAACCCTAGAATCGAAACCCTAGCCCCCATTTGAGTGGTTTTTGAGCTTTTGGTGGTATTTCAAGTTTTTTGGTGTTCATAGAAGAAGAAGAAGGAACTTCTTGGAGAAGTGTGGGATGGCTTGAAGCTTTTGGATCCAAGATTGTTGCATCTTGATCTACATTTTGGAGGTATAAAGTTTCTATCTTGATGATCTTATATGTTAGATCTAGTTCATGGAGTATTTTGTGCTTTTTGGAGTCTTTTGTGATAAAGTTGGGTTTTTGATCTACTCCAGAAGCAATCGGTGCTAGATCTTAACTCCATTCAGTCCCAAGGTTCATAAAAATACAAGCTTTATGATGGTATTGTGGTCCATGCATGCATTAACACCTTTGTTAAGTCCTTATTGAGCTTTTGAGTCCCTTTTGCCATGCAAGCACGTAAAGTTGCCAACTTTACGTGATAAGTAGTCTTATAGAATCAGATTCGGGAGTTTGGCACTTTGTCTTAACCAATTAAGGGCATATTGGAGTGAAAAAGGGGTATGAGGAGTACGATGGGCGTACGTAAGTGTACGCTCAGCGTAATGCTGAGTTTGTGCATAAATGACTTGTACTATGTGCTTTGAGGTCGTGTACGCGGGGTGTAATACCCAATTCAACATTATTGGGCCTTTTTGAGTTTGGGCCTTGTTGGGCCATTGGGCTTTTGTTTTTAGGCCATGGTTAGGTTGAGAACTTTCTTGGTATTGGTCCCTTGAGAATTTTAGGCCCAATTAGGAAGTTGTGCCATATTGGGCTTTTGTTGCTTTGTCTTGGGCTTTGATTTGCCATTTTGGGTTTTGGACTTTCTATGCATGTTGGGATGGGCTTTGGTTATGGAACAAGTAAGGAAAGGGTAAAATGGTCTTTTACCCTTTAGGAAGTTAGTTATGGAGTGGGCCTCGGATTTTGGGTTATCAGGTTAATTATTGATTAAGATTGTATTTATTTTTAGTTGGCACGAGGTTATCCGGTTCGGCGGTACGAGCAGTTATTTGAGTATCAACGGATTGAGGTGAGTTTTCCTCATTGTACTTACGGGTCGAAGGCACCAAGGCCAACTCTTTGGATTGTTATCCTAGTTTATCGTATGATTGTGTACTGTAGTGATCTGTTAGATCTGTATCCTGGTAGATAGGATGGTGTTATGCTTAGTGATCTGTAAGATCTGTCTGTTTGTTTGTTGGCTGGTTATTTATATGCTTGTTTGTTATATATGTGCGTCGACACGGTGTATGGGTGGTTGGGTTGAGGCAGTCCTGGTTTGTGCTGAATGCCAACAGACCTAGGGCGTCCCAGATAGACTGAAGGCCAGTGGGGCGTATCAGTCAGGCCGAAGACCCGGAGAAAGGTCCAGATAGGCTGAAGGTCTGGTGTGGCGTACCAGTCATACTGAAGGTTCTGTGAGTGTACCAGGTAGATTGTAGGGCGTTGGGGCGTTCCAGTCAGACTGAAGGATCTGTATGCATGTTGTTTGTTGGTATATGTGTAACATCCTAAAATTTAAGACCAAAAATTTCATTTATAATTACGTTATTATAAAACCAACAGTATAAAAACATCCATAATAACATCCCATCTCAAAACCAAAGTGTCAATAATCAAAACATGTTATCATAAAACAATATCAGAGTGTAATCCCAAAGATCTCATGTGCGGAAAACATAGTGTGATGCGTTGTGATCGTGTCGGCTCCTTTCCTTTGAAAACGAAGTACCTGAAACCAAAACTGAAAACCGTAAGCATGAAGATTAGTGAGTTCCCCCATCATACCATATACCATACAATGCACATACTGTCTAGCATATCCGGGTGCTAGCCTACCCCTTCGGTCTCTTTCAACCAGTAACCGCCTAGCATATCTGGGTGTTGGCCTCCCCTTTGGTCTCTTTCAACCGGTAACTGCCTAGCATATCTGGCTGCTGGCCTCCCCTTCGGTCTCTTTCAACCGGTAATTGCCTAGCATATTTGGATGTTTGTCTCCCCTTCGGTCTCTTTCAACCAGTAACTGCCTAGCATATCTGGGTGCTGGCCTCCCCTTCGGTCTATCCGACCGGATACGAGGTCTATTTCACCCCTACCACTACCACATAATAACATACATAAATATACTGTGCCCGACCTACCCCTTCGGTCTCTATCAGCCGGATATTGGGTCTATTTCACCCCTACCACTACCACATACATCATAGCACATAAGCACATAAATCATAACAGATAGTGGCATACCAGACAATTATCTCACATACAATCATCTAACTACAAACTCCTACTAGTGGGTCGTCCTTGGTGCCTTAGACCCACTGCTACAATAAGGTAACTCACCTCGCACTGCTGAAGTCCCGCGGACAAAACCCTAGCTGCTGAATGACAGATTCCCGAACTGTCAACATCAAAACAACGCCCAATTAATAATTAGATTCCAACACATAACCATAAGTCCATGGTTGGGGGGTAAAAGACTAGTTTACCCCCATCTTAGCTTGATTCAACCCAAGGCCCAATCTGTGACATCCCCATTTTCAGGCCAGAAAAGACCGATTTTGTTTATGCTTTATAAAAATCAGAGTACCTCTTTTAATAAAAATGTTGCGTAATTTGTTCCCAG